CAGCTGAAACACTCATCAGCTGAAACACTCAGCTGAAACACTCAGCAGCTAAAACACTCAGCTGAAACACTCAGCTGAAACATTCAGCTGAAACACTCAGCAGCTAAAACACTCAGCTGAAACACTCAGCTGAAACATTCAGCTGAAACACTCATCAGCTGAAACACTCAGCTGAAACACTCAGCAGCTAAAACACTCAGCTGAAACACTCAGCTGAAACACTCAGCAGCTGAAACACTCAGCAGCTGAAACACTCAGCAGCTAAAACACTCAGCTGAAACACTCAGCAGCTGAAACACTCAGCTGAAACACTCAGCTGAAACATTCAGCTGAAACACTCATCAGCTGAAACACTCAGCTGAAACACTCAGCAGCTGAAACACTCAGCTGAAACACTCAGCAGCTGAAACACTCAGCAGCTGAAACACTCAGCAGCTAAAACACTCAGCTGAAACACTCAGCAGCTGAAACACTCAGCAGCTGAAACACTCAGCAGCTAAAACACTCAGCTGAAACACTCAGCTGAAACACTCAGCAGCTAAACATTTTGTGTTTTCTCTGTTTTTAACAGAAAATGGATGAAGAGTCAGAGAGAGCTAAGCGCTGGGAGGGCGGCTATGAGAGGACCTGGTAAGACCTGKTTCCATCAGACATGTTGACCCACATGATCTGACCCCTGGTTGAATGTTTTAATATTATGGGATGCTCATCCTCACAGGGAGGTGCTGAAGGAGGATGAGTCCGGCTCACTTAAAGCCACAGTAGAAGAAATCCTGTACCAGACCAAAAGGAAAAGGTCAGAGACATGTGGACCTGCTGTGGTTCTGACCCAAACACCTGTGGACTCTGACAGATAAGATTTAAACTTTATGTTTGGTTTGTCTCACAGGGTGACAGAGAGCCATGGACAAGTCAGGCTGGGGATGGTGAGTGGACTCATCCTTATGCTAATGTTTTATTTACACTTGAGGATAGATTTATAGCTTATCCTCACTTTCACTTCTGAGGAAACTTTGTCATACATGTCACATGAGGACAGTCAGGTTGATGCACACGTGTGCTTTTTATTTTTAAAGTTAGGTCTAAAAGGCTGCAGCTGTTATATTATTTATTTAACCCTTTAACTGTAGACATGAGAGCTGTGATACCAGAGAAAACATCAGGAGGAGGATGGTGGTGGTGATGATGATGATGATGATGATGGTGGTGGTGATGGTAATGATGATGGTGATGATGGTGGTGGTAATGATGATGGTGATGATGGTGATCATGATGATGATGATGATGGTTGTGGTGATGATGATGGTGATGATGATGATGGTGATAATGATGATGATGATGATGGTTGTGGTGATGATGATGATGATGGTGATAATGATGATGATGATGATGATGATAATGATGATGGTGGTGGTGGTGGTGATGATGATGATGATGGTGGTGGTGATGATGGTTGTGGTGATGATGGTTGTGGTGATGATGATGATGATGATGGTGGTGATGATGATGATAATGATGATGATGATGGTGGTGATGATGATGATGATTGTGGTGATGATGATGATGATGTTGATGATGATGATGATGATGATGATGATGATGATGATGATGATGATGATGTGCTGTTCTGTAGATGCGTCACCTGTATGTTGTGATCGACTGTTCACGCAGCATGGAGGACCAGGACCTGAAACCAAACCGGCTCACCTCGACTCTGAAGGTAAACCCAGGAGCGGTCAGCACCCACTCTGAACCAGACCTGGACCTGACTTTGTTCTTCTCTCTGCAGCTGATGGAGACTTTTGTGGATGAATATTTTGACCAGAATCCCATCAGTCAGGTAGGAACATCAGCTTGTAGCTGCTGTGTGCAGATGATGTTCACTGATAGTTTTCACTCACAGGTTAGATCTTACACCTGTTGGGTAACCTGTCAGAACTCTGCATTGCCCCTACCATACAGAGTGGATATAAAGAGTCCAACTCCTGGTAAAATAACAGAAGTGCAGTCTGTTTGCCCACCTGGCAAGTTCGGCTGGCACTAACTCAGCTACCAAATGACAAAAAAAGTCTATGTTTGACAGAAACTTGGCAACAGCCCAATGACTTTTCTATATTAGATGATAGCTGCTCACCTGGCTTTGTTTACACCTGCAAGCTGAGAGTTTCAGGTGGCGGTGGAGGTATTGTGATCCTTGTTAAATCATGTCTCCCTTACTCATTCCTCTAATACCTTTGATCCTGTATTCTTCTCTGACTCCATAGTACTGAAACAGATTGAATAAAAATCACAAAAGATTTCTTAGTCGCAGCTGACAACAGGCTTTTCACTATTCTTATCTTACTGGACTTAAATGCAGCCTTTGACACAGTTTCTCACACGTACCCTTTCACTGGTCCATCTATTCTTCACAATATTCTTCTGTTTCCTCAGGTGTACCCCAGGGCAGTGCTAGGCCCCCTTCTATTTATCATTTACCTTCTTGCCCTTGTCCACATCTTCAGAAAACACAATATACACTTCCATTGTTGTGCAGTCGACACCCAGCTCTACATCTCATCTAAACCATCCAGTATCCTACCACCGTCCTCTCTTTCTGATTGTTTCCCACAAATCAAATCTTGGTTTTCCTCCAACTTCTTGAAACTTATTAGCAATAAAATGGAAGTTCTGTAAATACACAGTTTGCCCATTACCACTGACAACTCCTCCACCTTCCTGTGGTAAAGAGTTTGGGTGTTTTCCTAGACAGCGCTCAGTCACATAT